TCGTGCTGTTCTTTAGCAAAACCAAAAACTGTAGAAAAGTTTAGGAAAGTTTTTTCCTCAGGAAAAAATCAGGAAAACAAAATCACAGAAACTACTAACTGCTTGGTTAGCTGCCTGTTTGTTGAGTAGCAATTATGTTCTACTTATGTTCTACAATATGCTATATAAGTTTGTTACAGATCAGTCTCAGGCACAATTCCACAATCTAAACCATTCCTGACATTTTTCTTTTTAACAACAAATTTCTTAATTGATGTAATGAGATATGCACCCCTTAATTGATCTTACTATGTCAGAATTGTGCCAGTCTGTGTTCAGCTCTGCAGGGCATTTTGTTTCAGTATCCTTACAAATGAAACACATGTCCAGTAGAAATCAGAAAGGCTTCTTATTAAATAAAGTGCTTTTCTTCTTCTTTTACCAAGTTTTATTTCTCTTTTGGCATTATTTCAAAGTATTGTCAGAAGAATTTTTTTTTTATTTTATGGGGATGTAGTTGCTTTTTGTCTACAAATTCAAAAAGGAAAGGTTTGGAGGCTAGCAATAGTAGACTTTACAAGAAAAAGAAGCTCTAAAATACAATATTCTTAGCAGCTAATATTTATATACATTCTTCAATTCACTAGTAATCCAGACAGATTACCAGAAACCTTTTCACTGCTATTGCAGTGAACTATTCTTTAATAATTATTTATAATTATTTTTAAATTATAATTAATTTAATTTAATAATTAATATAACAATTATTTTAAGAAGTATAATTACTATAATAATTTAATAATTGTAATTAATTTAATAATTATTAATCATTATTTATAATAATTATTTATAATATAAACAAACTATATTTCACCTAACTAGATTTTTATTCCCACTAATCTTAGTCTGAAGCTGTTCCAAGATCTAATCTCATGAAAATTCTTGTCATTTTCAGCCTTAATTCAGGCAGGAACATTTTGTATTTCATGATTATGTTTAAACTTTATCTTTTGGTTTAAAAACGATGAACATATTTGCAGAGAGATGTTTCCATTTCAGCCTTTTCTTTTACCAGACTAGACAAGACAAGACAAGACACTTTTAGCCTCTCCTCAGAACACCCACTTTTAACTGTTGATCAGAATAGCTCCTTTCAGCCCTTTTTCCTGACTGCAACATCCTTTTGGGACAGACATGGGCAGTCCAGTGCACTGCTGCAGAAAATATCTGCTTCCTCAAATGCTGGAGTTGCTGTTTCCCTCTCTCTACTGGATTCAACACATTTATAATTTATTAGCCTGCTGCTAATAAATAAAAAGCATCTGATAACATTTTTCATCATTAATTTTCATTAATTATCACACAGTTCAATTGTGGCAAGTCTCCCAACACAATAAATTATTGGATAGAATAAAGAACAGGTGTCTGTCCTGGCTTCAAATGAAGTGACAGTCCCCTGACCCACCAATAATTTATCAAATATCCTTTTGTTATTTTTAAACAACAGAAGCATAAGCCAATCAAATTATATCTAATAAATGGCCAAGGTAACAAAAAAAAATGTTGATAGATTTGGAAAGGTAGGTATCTCTGTAAGTCTCTGCCATATGAGTTTTCTCCGAGACTATCTCTTATGTTTCTGGAAAAGCCCAACCATGTCCTGCTCAGGAATAATCCCTGTCTCTGTAGGATCCTGAACTGATCCCTACTCCATCTCAACTTCACCCAAGGGTAACAGCTTAACATTGTGCTCAAATGAGTAACTGAAGATCCTTATTTTCCTCTTCCTGTTCCTATTCAACTGCAGGACACCTATTGCAATGGCTGCTTAGCTCTCTTTGGGCATTTATGAAAAGAATGAAAGCTTGGCTGGTATCAGTATGCACACTGCCACTTTCATATATTGCTTCATCTATTTGATTCACCTCTGCTACTCATTCCAGTTACTGTTTATTTGGCCTTCTCCCTTTCCAGATAATAGAACTTGCTTCAGCAAACACATATTCACATAACAAAACATTCCATGAACAGCAGAATTAATGAAGCCTGTTTTCCTAGGGATTGATGTTGCTGATTCCCAAGTTCCATGCTCACACTATATGCTTCACTATGCAAGACCAGCACTTTAAATGGCCAGTGTGAGTCATATACCTGCTGCTTGGCTCAGCACTCTACAGCCATTGCACAGCCAGTCAGATATCAAGATCTTATGGTTGTTGCCAAGGAGAATGTGCTGCATTCCTTTGCTGACTGGAACATATTTTTAAAAATACTTTAAAATTAAAGGGGGCTCCAATGGAGTTCTCTGTTTCCTGGAACTGTGAATTTAGAAAGAATGGGTAGCCAAGGAAAATAAAATTAGGCATGCCTTTGAAATGACTGCTGGAGAGTTAGGAATGATACTCCTGGAAGATCAAATGTGTATTTTACTTAAGTGTACATAAAAAGATTAATAAACTTCCCAACAGATTAATGGGATGTATAGAAGTGAAATGATTACAAATGATCACTTTTTAATTTTATTTCTTTTGGGGCTGTGTATGTGTTTAATTGCTTTTACCTTTAGAAGGTGAGCACAGCTAGTGCTTTTAATCACTAGGGGAAGTTCTGGTTAGACATAACTTCTCTGTGTCTGTGATTTCTCTTTATGATAGCATTTAAAGAAAACGTGGTGCTATGACTGTCATATTGAATCAAAGTAGCAGGCATTTCAGCCTAAGTGAGGTGAAAATCCCATACCCACCTCTTCAAGGATGGCAAAACCACATGGAGGGCTACTGCACATGCACGTGAAGGCACAGTAGCCCTATGACAAAACTAAGAGATAGCTAAGAAAACAAACAAGCAAACAAACAAGCATGCAAAAGGCTGTGGAAATTTGTCCCATGATGTGCGAACTTGTTTAACTTGTCAGGACCTTTTCTGACAGAAAGGCACATGACAAGCACTTGGGCTGAGAGTGTGAAAAGGAGGAAGTTACAAGACAGTTCACATATTAGCCTTTTTTTTTTCTTTTTTTCCCCAATGTGTAACACTTCAAGACAAGGATAAATTTGAGCAAGTTTGCAATGTTTTGGTGGTGATAGACTACATTGACTGCACAATAAGAACACCCCCTGCCAGGAGCTGTGTTCATGGTTCTGGTGGCACAGGCAGCGGGTACACCAGGAACAGCTCTCATAAATGGAATCATATTTACTTGCTCCGTACAGAGCTGGCTTAATTTTTATTCACTGATTTCCCCTTTCATGTTTTTTCAAGTCTCTGAAGTATTTTCATAAAACACCCACAACCTTATCGAGCTCTGTTTATGTGACAGCCACCTTAGGTACACTGTCAGCCTTTGATACAACTGTGAGAACACCTGAACTTTATCCAGGGCTGGTGATGTCTTGTTCTTACTTAATTTTGTGTAAAATATAATTGCAATCACAAAATCATGTAGGTTGGAAATAACTGTTACTATCACCAAATCCAGCTGTTATTGAAACATTGCTAAGTCCACCATTAAACCCTTCTCTAAGTGTAACATATGCCCTTCCTTTATCCAGGGATAGTGACTCAATCACTTCCCTGGGAAGCCGTGTTCTAATGTTTGGCAACTGCACTGACATAGAAATTTTTCCTCATATCTGATCCAAACCTTCTCTCTGTCACAATGTGAGGCAGTTTTCTTCTCTTCCTGTCATTATGTGCCAGAAAACACCATGCAAGCATGACATCATTCAGGCAGTTGAATTCACGTGCCAGTGAGTGCTCAGTATTTCAGTCAAGGCAGTTAAGTGTTTGTTGGCTGTAAAAAGCTTGCTGTTGCATTAAGCACAAAGGTCAGTCTATGAGGGTGGTTTGCTACACAAAGTCAGTGTAGTTTCACAATTCATTTTCTTCAACCTTAGCACAGCTGGGAGATGTTAGCTCTGTACTCCACACTGATCCTACACCCCACAGCACCACTTCATCACCTCTGGGAACACTTCATTTCTGAGGCCATAACAGTGAGGTGCTTTCTTCAGTATCCCTTGCTAGCTTGTGACCTCCTCTCTCCTTGCTACTCATTCCTTCCCACACAGCAAATTGTGCTGTCTCAAATTTTTCCAGTGTGGATATTAGATGGCAAGAAAATCAATTTCTCCACACCTTTCCCTAGGGAGTGAACTAATGCTTGGGACAGGAAATAAAGATGAGGGAGCAGCTGAACTGTTTCAAAGAGAGGTATGGGAAAGGGGAAGCATAATGGCTCTGGCAAGCAGCTCCGTTTGCTCCTTCCTGTCTCCTTGAAAGTCTGAGAATACATGTAGATATCAAGGATCCATCAAGGTGCCTCCATTTTAGGTCTGAAAAAAGCACTACTTGCAAAGTCACTGACAAGAGCTGATATAGCTACTACACCCTCATCACAGCTGCAGAGACATGGAGCAGGGTTCTTCTGTGTCCTTCTACTCATCTGGCCCAGGGTGGCCTTGACTCTGAAAGGTTAAGCTGCAGAATTACCTGGCATTGGGACACTGGATGTGAGACACAGGAACACTAAGGTGGCAAAACCTGCAGTCTCCATCCTGCTCCGCAAACATCAATTTTTTGAAATGCATATACATTTAGGTTATTTCCAAGAAAGAATAAAGCCTCCCAGCATAACTTAGGATTCCTCTACATGTAAGAATTCAGCGTGCTGTTTCTGGAACACTCCACTGGGTGAACACCTCGTGTTTCTTAAGAAATGGGGAGTGAGCACAAGTCGCAACATGACGAGCTGGACGGTGCTTTCCAAGCGGCTGGGGCTGGCAGGTATGGCCCAATGTTCTTAAAACAGAACATTGACAAAGCCAGCGCAGGCATCGCGGAGCACAACATCCTCCTCATGGCCGGGGCCGGGGCCGGGGCCGGGCCGCCATCCCACGCTTCCGCGGCGCCCGCGGTCGCCCCTCCTCCCCTTCCCCCGGCGCCCCCCGGGCGCTGCCCGGCTGTGACCTCGGGGCCGCCGCCCGCCCCCGCACTATCATTGCCGGGCATCCCGCCCTTTCCTGCCCGGCGCAGGCGCCGCAGCGGAGCGGGGCGGGAGCAGGCGTGGGAGCGCCGCGGGGCTCGCTCTGTGCGCGGGGCGGTCTCCGCTCGGTTCCCGCCGGGCGCCATGCGGGTGCCGCTGTCCCTCCTGGCTGTCGCGGCGCTGCTGGCGCCCCGCCGGAGCGCGGCTTCCCAGGGGGAGCAGCCGCCCGCAGGTAACGGGCGGGGCGAGACGGGGGGCATGGGGCGGCCCGGGCAGGCCGGCCGGCTCGTGGGCAGCACGGGTCACCTGAGGGGCGGCGGCACCGGCACCGGCCGCGCCGCGTCCCGGAATCCTCCGTGAGCGAGCGCCGCCGCTGGGGCCGCCGGACGCAGGGAGCTGTCGGGGCTGTGCGAGCGGCCGGGCGGCGGCGGGAGGAGCCCCCGCTCCCCAGGGCTGTGCCGTGCTGCCCCGGCCCCGGCCGAGCTCTCTGGGGTGCGCGGTTCAGCCCGGCCCCGGAGGCCGTCTGGTGGCGCGCCGGCGGCGCGCTGCTGACATCAGCCTTGTTTCGGGTGTTCGTGCATTCTGGCATGCAAAGCATCGCACAGGCCCGCTGTGCTGTGCTTTATGACTTCATATGTCCAAACTGGGAAATTCGGATCGAAAATGGGGAGCACGGGGCTGGGGAGTGTAAGGAAGGTATCGGGATCACGGCCTGGGACGCGCGCGTTTTGGCCAAGCACTCCTGGGGAGGAGTGGCTTACCGAAGGAGAACAGCGTTGTGTCTCTGTTTGCACGGCGAGTAAATTACGAAAGAATTAGTCAGGCTTACTAGTTTTATTTTGAACTGGAAAAGTTCATTAAAAGCAGAGATTGCTGTCTAATAGTCAAAAGGGAACATGCATTTAATTTTTATTAAGACTGCTGAGAGCTGGCTGTGTGCGCAGGCTCCTTGGATTCTGCAAATGGAGATTTCTTGGAGCTCAGATCCATGCCCAGGTGAAGTGACTGAACTTGGTTGCCCCTGATAATGGGCCACACCATGCTTTGGAAGTCTGCTTAGCTTTGTCTGATTTGGACTAGCGGTGCTAAAAACAGTAATCTGCCTGAATTATTGTTCCTTAATAATTTGCATTTTGAATCTCCAGTTTGTTTGACTGGTGTCTGATTATAACTGGCACACTTTGCAGGGAAATTTTTTTCCTCATTGGATCAGTAAAATAGCTTGATATGTTAAATATTTTCTTGTTTGCTCTGACTTAGTCTCTTTTAAGGGCATGCTTTAATTGCTAGTAAAATATGCCATTTCTACATTGTATTAAGCGTTTTCAGGGTAAAAAACACAGTACCAGTAAGTTACTTGTGAAACAAACCTGCTCTAATCCAGCCTTGTCCAGCACAACAGTTATCTCTGTAAGCGTAGAGAGTAGTGCTGTGGTGTAGATCATGTAACAGGCTGCCTAGAAGCAGAAAGCTCACTTTTTTGCATGCGAGTGCAACAAACCTTTAGCTCAAAGAAGCAGAATGTATTTTTGAGTTAGGTTTTGAAAACTCCAGCAGTATTTTCTTGGTGACTTGCACTCAGCTTGGTCACAGCCACTATAAGTAAACCCTTTTTTTTGTAGTGAACAAAAGCATAATGAAGGGAATTAATTCTAATTGAAAATTATTTGTATTAGTTGAGTGAAAATGCTGGTTTTATATGTAATGACTAATAACACGTCCTTACTTTGTTATAATATTGATGCAAGTAGATGTGCTGAACTACAAGAATTAAGGTAGAAAGGGAAGTCTGAACCATGTTTACGATGCTGTCACATACAGAATAGCATAATGGGTCAGGTTGGAAGTGACCACAGTGGGTCATCTGGTCCAACCTTTTCCTGCTCAATCACGGTCACCCTAGAGCACATGGCACAGGATAGCATCCAGATGGTTCTTGAGTACTTCCAGTGAGGGGGACTCCACAGCCTTCCAGGGCAATCTATTCCAGTGCTTGGTCACTCACATAGTAAAGAAGTTCTTCCTCATACTGTTGATATGGTGGAGCTTTTTGTGTGTTAGTTTCTGCCCGTTGTCTCTTGTTCTGTTGCTTGGCACCAGTGAGAAGCTGGCTTCTTGTCACTCCTCCTTCAGATACTTGTAGATATTGATGAAGTCCCCTCTTGGTCATCTCCTCATGAGACTGAACAGGCCCAGCACCCTCAGCCTTTCCTCATAATGGAGATGTCCCAATTCCTTGATCAGTCTTGCAGCTCTCTGCTGGACCTGGTCCACAAACGCTATGTCTCTCTTGTACTGAGGAGCCCAGAATTTCCATGGCAACAGTTGTATGGTTATTTTTTTTCCCTTAAATCTTATAGGGCTTTCAATGTGCCAGTAGTATAATACATATATCAGGGCTTGGTGTGTAATGAGGAAATGTTCAGTCGTCTTGTGTTGTAGGACACCCTTTTCCTTAGAAAAGGAATGAAGCCAGACAACCCAGCAGCCGCTGGAACATCTCCTGCATTTCCTGCAGCTGGGTGCCTAATGTGCCTGCATTGATAGGCCTCTGACTCCACAGTGGAGCTGAGCACTTGTTGATGGGAACTCTCAATCCGTATTTTAGTATCGTGGAAGACAAGGTCTGTGGTGAAGGTGAAGAAGATTTAGAGGCTGCGGTAGCAGTTCAGGTGCCTACTGCACATTGTAAGCCGCATTTCCAAGGATGCGTATACATCATTTAGGCAGCTGGCTTCCTGTTGTGTGCGATAAGAATGGTGGCCTTGAGTTGTTGTTTATGATTCAGATTACTGACATTCATAGCAATTTACTGTCAAGCTGCAAACAAAAACAAATTAGGTGGTAGAAAGTGCTGTATTTAGATTTCACCTATTACAACACTTCTCAGCTATAACAAAAGGGATGAACACTCATAAAATAGATAAAACAAAATTTAGCTTGTATTATTGCATCTGTTTTGTTAGGTGTCTATCTTGTGCAACTTGCTGTGGTTTTTCTCAAGATGGTGATCTCAGTCTATCTATCTTCTTAGTACAGCTTACAACCTTGTGGAGATTATCATAATGATTTTGAGAACTCAACAGAACACTGTCAAGCCTCTGATCCCTTAGAAAATGAAATTCTGTTGTAAATAGAAGCTGTAAAAAATGCTCTATCTACTGTGTATAATGTTTATTCATGATACTTGAATTTAAGCTTGTTTTCAGTAAATTTTTTAAGTACCATCAAGGTATGGGAGTGGCATTACAAGAGAAATGCACGTCCTGGGTTTCTTTTGGAGGGATAAATGAAAGCTTGCCAAGGCAAGCACATGCAAGCATTTTCACATACACCTCGTGGCTGCTGCTTCTTAAAAGAAAGCCAGTCAGCTAGCAGATAAAAAATTTCTTCATTACCTTGCTCTTGGGTGCTTGCCAGTCTCCCAGGCTCCCAACCAAGCACAGCCAACAGGCAACTTCCCTCCAGCAGTCTGATAGGAGCAGGACCTGTTTGGTGCCTGGCCTGCCAGAAGTGAGGGGGCCACGCTAACCCAGGTGTGCTGCCTTGAAGGGGAGCGTGGCAGGAGGCAGAACCACTGCTCTGACAGACATTGCCTGTTCTTCCTCAAGGCACGGGCTTGGAAGCCCGTGCCTTGGGTGCTCCTGCAGCCTGTGGTGAGTGACCTCTTCCTGCTCAGTTTTGGTCCTGTGGTGCTGGGCAGTGCTCCTAACTCTCCTCTACCTCCCAGATGGCTGGACTCTGCTTTTAATGCAGGCCAATTTTGTTTGATTTAGAGCAGATTGAAGTGAGGATATAAATAATTAGAAGGGCCATTTTTTCAAGGTTTAACCAAGCCCCACGCAGCTGCTTGTTCTGTTACCAGCAGGATTGGGGAGAGAATCAGAAGGATAAAGCTGGAGAACTCATGGATTGATTTAAAGACAGTTTAGTAGGGAAAGTAAAAGCTGTGCACATAAGCAAAGCAAGGAATTAATCCGCTGCTTCCCGTGGGCAGGCAGGTGTTCAGCCATCTCCAGGAGAGCAGGGCCCATCATGGGTAAGAGTTTCTTGGGAAGACAAACATCATCACTCCAAATGTCCTGTGCTTCCTCCTCCTTCCCCCCACTATGTACTGGGTGTGATATGGCAATACCCTGGCCACTTGCCAGCCCACATGTATCACCATGGCTGTTGCAAGAATGTTCCCGGAGGAACTACTGTGAGGTGATAAGCAGTTCTGCAGGCAGTCAGTGAAAGCAGCGAGCACTGGACTTAAATATGCAGTCAGGAAAGCAAGCCTCAGCAAGCCACAGGAGCTAAACAGCACTAGTAGTTGTAAATTCAGTCTAGTACATCCCAGTCAAGTTTGTTATCTCAAACCCTTTGAATCCCAAGTTGGGTGGAAAAAAAAAAAAAAAATTAAGGAAATGCAGCCTTCAGAGACAGGCTAAATTCTTTTTATGTACTATTTTCATCCTTAGCATTAACTTGCTGCCTTCTGAATCCATCTTTCAGAGTATTGGTTGCCTTATTGCCATTTTTTTTCTGTTTGGGTTTTTTTTTTTCAATGCATATGGCTGAGGAGTACCGCAGAAGCATTCAAAGGTAGTACAAATTTGTCTGATCTTTTTTCTGTTTTCTTCATCTTCAAGGGTGGCAAAAGCTACAGAGAGTGACTTTTTTGCATTTGTGAAGTCATCAGAACTGCTACCCTTTCTGGGTGTAGTTTAAGTGGATATGTGAGCTCAGGTCCCCCTGTGGGCCACGTATGTAAGACTTGGATTCAGTGATCCTTGTGGGGTCCCTTCCAACTGAGAATATTCTGTGAATCTGTGAGCTGAAACAACTGTAGGTAGAGGACAGGGCTGGCATAAGGAAGGCACACTTCTCCCAGTCAGGGGCCCAGAAGGGACTGACTGGTTACTGTTGCAGCTGTCTATCTTTAAATTATGAGTGAACCTAAACTCTACAGCAAGGTTCAAACTGTTGTCCCTCTTGGCCTGTTGAAGTGGCTTCTAAGTGTCTTCCTATGATGTGTCACTTGGCGAGCATAAGGATTTGTTTGTTTTTAATGGAAACCTGAAAAAGGAACAAACTTTCAAAATACATTTTTACATGTTATTTTTTCACAGTTTGTCTTTTCAAGCTTTCAGTTTGTGCTTTCAGTCTGTATTTCAGTGCCTAAATGATGTTTGAAAGTCATATATGACTTGAATGAACTTCTGTGGCTTTTAGGGCCGCTGTTGTCTCCGCTAGCTGTACCACAAACTCTGCGTTGTGGATTCGTCAGGCCCTGTTCTATTACGTGCATTATTGCACTTCAGCTGAATTCTGCTTGCATAAGCAGTGGTGACAGATTCCTCTGTGTATACAATAATGCCAGAATGAGGGAAGGAATTTCAGTTTTGCACAAGATACAAGTATCAGCCTGCTGAACTGCTGCCCGAGTTTCTCTACTCCCCCGGGCAGGGGAGGAAATTTCGCCGGCTGAGCTACAGGCACGGCAGCCGACAGCCGGGCGGGGCACTCCCTAGATGCGCCGGGGCGTCCCGGGAGCACCTCAGCAAGGGGCAGCAGGGAGCAGCAGGCAGGCGAAGTAGAAGAAAGAAGAGAGGTTCCTTCCTCGGGGGTAAAATCCAGAGCCTTTTATTAACTCCAGGGGCACCAGCCGAGCAAGGACCACGAGGCAGGAATACAGCAGCTTATAAAGGGGGTGGGAACCCCACACATTGACCAATGAGGGAGAACTGGGGAGTGAACAAACTCGTGAGAAACATGCCGGCTAGCCCATAAGGAATGTGACAGGGAGGGACCCTTGTTCCCGATCCAATCACCCACCGAAGAAAGGAGAATTTTCTGGAATATGGGAAGGAGACAGAGGGTGATGGACAGAACTTGGGGAGGGATTGACAGAAAGTAACCAGGGAAACAGGGGAGGAGAGAGCGAATTGACACTCTCAGAGAGAGAGGTTCCAGGGGAGAGGGAGAGGGGGATCCCAGGACTGAACCATTATAGCTTTAGGGGGTAACAGAACACACCAAATGAATCCTGCACCACAACATCAGCCTTTGAAGGCTGTCTCATATTTACATCTCGGAAATGTCCAATGCATTGAATTAATTTTTGCTTTAGGCACAGCATTTCTGGCAACTAGTCAGCAGGGACCTAGCTCCCCAAGCCTTGGGCAGATGATGGAGGGGTCCTACTATAACATTTGCTACCTCCTTCAGTGCTCTGAGGTCAACCCCTTATGTTAAGCAGGTTTTTTTGTGTAATAGTACACAAAAGTTAAAAATTTGTAAGGCTAGCTACACTGACTTAAAAGTGCATATTTGGAGTAACGTTTATGTGCTTTCGCCTGTGTGCTTGACACCTCTTCTGTCAAATTGTCACCTTTTTTTTCTTGTGGTTGTGAATTTGATTATGATGTCCCTTTTCTTCCAATAGCTGAAATACCACTGTTATTAAAACAAACCACTGTACTGCTTGCAGAATGACCTATATTACATCAAACCTTTGTGTTTGTCAATAGCATATCTCAGCCTCAGCGTATCACTTTCAGTAATGTGTTATCTTTGTGGTCTTGTTCTCAGAATGTGAAAATTGTTTACTTTCCCTAAAACAGAGTGAAGTTGTAGTACTTGCTTTGTGAAAAGAGCAGATCTGAGTTCCCTCAGCATTTTGTGAAAGCCACATTGAGCATACTAGGGGTGCCAAACCAGACATCGAGAAGCTGAGTTGCAATAGTGTAATTCAGTTGAGTGACCTTAATTTCTCTTCTCTTCCTGAGTGTCATGTGGCAGCCTTCAGCATTACAGGATCCTGTAATATTCCTTCCCCTGCAGCTGCTCCCTTGATACCCTCTTGAGGCTGCTGCTTGAAACAGATACTTGCTGCACGTGGAAGACTGTCAGTGTTGCTTCTTATTTTTGGATTGCTTTACTGCATTACCTCTGATGTTGTTTGTTAAGTATACTTCAAATGTGTTCCTTCAAATGGAACTACATTATAGCTTCAGTGTTCAAATTCCTTACAAATGTTTGTAGTTTGGTCATCTATTTTGTTTTGTCATTTATTTTGGTCATCACAGCTTACTGAAGATACTGCTGGAGTGGTAGAAGCATCACTGTTAGGAATTCATAGGGAATCCAGGCTTACCCTAGGAGGCCTGTTGTATTTTGGCCTTGATACTCCAGCTCTGGTACCATCTCCTAGCCCATTCACTCCAATTCAATTTCTGAACAGCAAGAGAAATCTACAGGAACAGGGCTAATCTCCTTTAACTTGAGTAAAGTCTTAGAACCTGTCTTGCTGTTATATCTGTAAAAGGCCAAACAGGGGTATAATCATCACTGCTTATGGACCTGATACAGGCTTTCTGAGGGACTTGCTTTCAGTGGGCATGGGTTATCTGATGTTGCAAAGAGGACAAAAGCTGTCTCTGCAGGAGAGGTGAGTAATAAATCAGCTTACAGGGCTCATAAATGTTTGTACTGGTGACAGACTAGCTCATTTGGGGGAAGTATTTATGATTTTTATGTCTAGTGTGTTGACTTTTCCAAATAATTTAGAAGTACATTTGGCTGTTCTTGTGTTTGCAAAGATACGTTTATCAAAGTGCAATTGTTCTCTTCATTCTAGTGCCTTCACCAACAGGGATTGTAGTAACATCTGAAAATTTCAAAACAGTTTTGCATTGGCAGTACCCATCTATGTCTGAAACTCCTCGTTTTATTGTGGAAATCAAGCCTTACAAGTAAGTTCTTACTATTTTATTATTTCCTATACCTGATACTCTCTAGAAGCACATAAAAGTAGTCAGTCCATGGCAAATTCTCTTGTTTCTATGCAGTGAAGTCACGTAGGATGAAGGTTGCTCAAGTGTAAATTAAGGCAAAATTTGCCAAGTAATAGAATGGTTGATCCATGGATCTCTGGAGGTCATCTGTCCAAGCCCCTTGCTTGAGCAGGTCATCCATGATTATGTCCAGTTAGCTTTTGAATATCCCTAGGGGAGACTCCACAACCTCCCTGATCAACCTGTGCCCTCACAGGTCCTGGCCACCCTCACAGTTTTTTGTTACAGGCAGTGTATTGTACAGAATTGTGTAGTTGAAATTGTGTTAATTACTTGATCTGTTTTACAGTTTAGGTCACTATAAGAACGTCTCAACCTGTGTGAACACTTCAGCTTATTTTTGTGATCTCTCAGTGGAAATATGTGACCCTTATTCATCTCACTGGCTTCGAGTTAAAGCTGTTGTTGGGTCACAACAGTCTGAATATGTTGAGGCAAATGAGTTTATTTTGCAAAGGCATGGTAAGTTGAATCTCAACTAAACCTAGTAATTTTTTTCAAAAATTTGGAGAGTTAGTAATTATTCATTTTGCTCTGTTACTGCATTGCATTTGGGGAATACCTTAAAGCCAGGAGTCCAGGATGAAATGAAGCATGATGATTGCTTAGCAGGGACTTCATGATGCTTGCTAGCTCTTACTCTCTGGTGTCCGCGTATTTGTTTCAAAATGTCTAAAAGCAAGAAGGTGGTGCTGATGGTGCACTCTGAATCTTTCCCACGTTCCAGACACCAGTTTATGGTAGGAAACTGTCACCGGGGAACATGGACCTTTAGGCATCACTGAAGTAGCAATGTATTGCTTGACACTAGAATGCCATGAACTGATAGCTTCAGGTGTCTAGGTAATACTAAGAGCTGTAATTGGATAACTGAGTTACTAGTTCTTCACATAAATGCTTCAGGCTGCTTTGGAAAAAATCAGACTTTAACATCAATACTGTAAAAGTAAATTTTGTGTCTGCAGTTCAGTGTGGCAGGCCCTGGCATTGCATGGGCAGTGCAAAGGAAATGCAACAGAGTCAGGAAAGACCAAGAGACTTCTTACCATGCTTGCTCTGTTCCCAACATACAGCTTGCAGGGAGAAGCTGGCCCGTGAGATTCTATCGAATTCTATCTATTTCTGCATTTCTGGAGCCAAAGGAGTGGAGTCCCTCTTTGCTTTCTGCTATGATTCTGTTCCCACTCAACAGTCCTATTACTTGAAATAGTGGCTGGTTTCTATAGTTTGACAAAAGGACACAAGTCATGGTAGTAATGCTCAGTGTGACAGTTTCCAGAAGATTGGTAGCCATGTACGGAGAAAAGAGACAAAATCCTTTTCTCATTGAACAAGAAACTTGTGTTCAGTCAGACCATTAGACATGAAAAATTCACATAGGCCATTGCCATGGGAAATCCAAAGTTTCCAAATGGCACTCATGGGTGAGATTTGTTTAGCTTTTCATATAGCCTTTGTTTCAGTGCAGTATTGTTTTTAACTGAGCTGATTTATGGTGGGATCTAGTCAGCAGGATCTTGTGTTTGGTTCTCATTCATGTATATGTTTAATTGCTGTTAGTATTTTCTGTTGTCAGCTGAATTTTTATGGCCTTATGTGTGTAGGAAAGTGAAGTTGCTTAACAGTGAAATTCATCATGGACAATCTGTTTCCATTTTAGAAGCTGATTAGTTAATGTATCCAAATGCCTCCATTACTTCTAAGCAACAGAGAGGTCTTACCACAGCTATGCATTATCCACAGCATGGAAACAGACGTAATTCTTCTCAAATCTCTGATAAATTTTGGAAAGCTAACAATAAATACAATATTTTATGTTAAAAGCTTTGGCCTAATAGCAATGGTGCAATGTGTTGCAGGAAAAATAGGACCGCCAAAACTGAATGTCTCAAGACATGGTGATAAAATCATGGTTGATATTCACCATCCTGTATTCCCTCTTTCTTGTATTGAAGACATTTATTCACATCTTGCCTACTTAGTGACTGTTCAGAATAGTAAAAATGAGGTAGGTTCCAAAAATAAAATTTAAAAACACTTCTTTACCTTAAATGCCTATACAAGGGATTTATGCCTATGACACATAGAGCTAACAGGTACCAAGAAAACAGTTGAGCACCTAAAATATTGAGTGCATTACAATGAGATATGTGAATGAAAGGTCTGTATTGTAGTTGTCCAAATGAGTGCTTACAACAAAAATTAGATTGTTGCAGATTGTTGCATTAACTGTACACAAGATAAGTGTTAATGGATCACATGCTGCTGTTTCTGCATAGATGCTAAAACATTAGTAACTTAACTTGGGCCCTTCTCATTTGTCTAAAGAGACATTTCACTTAAGAAAATGGCCTTTCAAGGTATTTATACCAGTTTATTTAGCAATCACGGAGGGTGAAGGCACGTAAAATTACAGCAGGTGTGTTTACTTTCAGTTAGCTTTTCATATGCATCAAGGTGCAAGTTTTATAAATGTGAATCTCTACTATGAACAGCAGAAATTTTAGCTGGAAAATACCATGCTCTGATCAAATATAACATCTTAAGGCAGGCCAGTAACCTGATGGTCATGCATCTTTTGGAAAGCATATGAGTGATGTAGGAAACACATCTAATAGTGTTTTAACATTTTTTGAAGTAGTGGAAGATACTGTAACATTGTTATAGTGAGTCAAATGATATAACATGTCTTCCATTTTTTTTTCAGACTGAAGAGCTCTACGAGGACAACTGTACAATGCCTAAGTGTAGCCTCAAAATCCCAGTTCTTACTGAAGGTTCCACTTACTGTGTTTCAGCAATAGGAATTTTTGATTCTCTGATGGTTGGCACTCCATCAGAGGAAAGATGCATTCCTGTTCCTGTCAGGCAGACATTGAGTAAGAGGATTCAAATGCTATATTAAGAACATACTGAATCTGAAGACAGATCTGATCTAGCAAGTATTTGGTGCTTGGGGTGCCTTTGGGAGAATAGAAGAAATAGGAAAAGCTTAGTCAGTCTTTTCCAAATACACTTGGACAGTTCTGACCTTTACAAATAATGTATTCTTTTCAAATGACCCTGAATTTTTTTTGGGGGGTTTTTCCTGTGTTGATATTACAAAACCTGTTTCTATTGCACATGAACACTGGTGTGATTACAAAATCACAAATGGATCATTCACTGAGCTATATGGTTTTCATAGGCATTGTCTGTTCTAGCAACTAGCTTTTTGCTTGGCCTCATCACTGAGGGTAATGTGTATATACTTTTAACTGGAAGCAACTATAAACTTGTGGTCATTAAATTAAGATATTGCTGTCTTTTTCGTAATTGAAGAGGACAAAAGGCAAATAGTGACCCAAATTTTTATCTCTGAACCTCTTACAAACATTGTGGTTGTACTTCACCATGGCCTGTAATTTCAGCAAAGAGATTAAATAGAAGCAGTCTTCTTGAATGCACAGAAGCAGCTGGATGAGGGAGGGCATTAAGGAGAGTCAGACTAGTGGAGTCCTACTGTAATCATTAACAATTCTGTGTTTTGGAAGATATCATATTTTACTTTTATTGTACATAAACTCTGTGTAGTTATGTCAGTTAATATGCTATCACATAGAAGGTGTACAAATCTCATTATCCCCATCTGTCATCTCTAAGGAACAAAAAATTAATTGCAAAATTTCTTTATTTCTATAAAAATGTGATTATGTTTATATAAACTGAAAAGCTTCTGTCATTCCAATTTTTATTTACTCCATAAAAGTGTTATGGATTAAGTTTTCTTGAGTGAAAAAAGGTAGTAGATTGACAAATTCACACATTACAGCTAAGCATTCTGAGCTATTACAATTTCTGAAATTCTTCTCAATGATACAGCAGTGGCTTGTTCCAAAATTCCTAGTAGATTTTGCTTTAACTTCTTAGGTACACATGGTATCGTCATCCTTTGTGTTGTTATTGGGATCTTGACGGTAATACCGACAGTATATTGTGGCTGCAAGAAACTGAGGAAGAACAACATACAGCTGCCTAAGTCTTTGGTAAGTTCTGTAACTACTGTATGCTTATGCCAGTCTCTTGGGTTTGTTTCGTTGGGGTTTTTTTACTTTTTTCCCATGGCCTCATAGATATTTAGAATTTTTGCCGGTCTAATGTTCTGATAGCCTTTGCAATCAGATGCTTCTTAGTTTTTTAGGGCTAGACTTCAGTCTCTCTTTGACTGAAGTAGCAGTAGTTGGTCTAGTTTGAGAACTTGGTTCTTAAACACTCAGCATGTGCATACCTGGGCAGGTTTGTATTCACTCTAGTAGCAGAGACACAAAACCACAGAATCACTAATGTGAGAAGATACTTTTTGAGGTCATCTACCCAAAGCCTTTTCCTCAAGCACAAGAGCAGGTTAGCCATGAGCACATCCAGATGGTTTTTGAACACCTGCAAGGAAGGAGACTCCACAGCTACTGTGGGCAATCTGTTCCAATGTTAAACCACCCTCACAGTTTTTCTTACATTCAGACAAAATTCCGTGTGTTTCAGTTTGTACGCATTTCCCTTTGTCCTGTCACAAAGACAGAGCTGTGAGATTCCTTCATTAAATGGTAGTATTGGCAATTCTGCTAGTTGCTACAATATTTGTAATGTGCAGAATAAGGGGGAGGGGGTTATAGTTCTGTAGGAAGGGGGAAGAAGGACATGCGTAAGTCTGTTCTCACACTGAGCAGTCACAGGGAAGAGAAGTCAACAGCTGCTCTATCTTAAAAACTTCCTGTAGCCATCCTTAGGAAACAGAGTGGATGTTGCTTAAAGAGCAGCAGCACTCCTTGGTTTCATGTCAGGCCATAGTGGAGTATCTAAGAACTACTGTTGTAATGTTCTCCTGTTGTGTTAGTCACAAAAAGTGAACCACCACAACTTCAAAGAGCTGCCACCTGAGGAAGTAGTAAACAGAAATCACAGCAAGAGTATCTTCTCAAGGAATGGAGGAAGTCTCATTTATATAGAGTGTAGACAACAATCTTTGATTCCATGGTCTTCAGTTTCAAAACCTTTAAAATGACCTCTCCATAGTGAATGCCCAAGATTCCTCTGGAATTTGTGTTCTTTAGAATAGAATATCAGGAGGCGAGATTGCTCTGACTAAATGGAGATACCAAGCCAGAGGTGGTCCCTTTGTAGTAAAGCAGTGATCTAGTCCACCAACTTGTGGACAAGATGATTCATCTTGTTCTGAAATTACATGCACTTCTGGTCAGACAAAATGCTTTTTAAAATTCCTGTTTCTTTCCATGGACTGCAATGTAGCCAGGGGACTAGTTTGGGAGTAGACATTCACACTGTAGGCTTTAAAAAATAGATGAGAGAAATCTCTCTGACATCTCCAGCTAGGCCCCAATACCAAAGCAGATGCTGCAGACTTTTTGTCGTGTTCACACCAGGGTGTACTTGTCTGAATATGTAACTTTGTGTCCTATGTACATGCAACAGTAATTTCTGTGAAGACCATTCATTGTAGCAGAAGGTGGCTCATGCAGGATTACAGTGCTGTGCTCAATGGAAACATTTATTTTGGCTTTCCAGTAGCACTGTGATATCTCATCTAAAGGATTAGAAAGCAAATATCACAAATAGAATGTGTGCTCCTTAACACCTGTGAGCTTCCTGATGCATGCTCCAACTTCACACTTGAGCTTACCTTGTAGAAACTCCTGTGTGTGCCCATGTTCTCATTTTACTGGGCTAGATGTTACTTTGTGGTTCCTAGGTTCCAGTACCACAGTATGGTTCACATACTACGTCGTATTTTATTGCTAAGGAGCTGAATGAAGCCTATAACTATTTATAAATATTGTTAGCTAGGTGGTCAGGCACTGAGACAAGCTTCCCTGGGAAGTGGTCGCTGCCCAAATCCTATTCAAGAAGCATTTGGCCAATGCTCTGAGATGTGTGGTTTCACACCTAGGTTGTCCTGGGTGGAGTCAGGAAGTAGACACTGATTCTTGTCAGTCCCTTCCAAATCAGGGTATTCTGTATTTCTGCCTATTCCAATGAAGTTCTAATGACAAATATAAGTTTTAGAGCTCACAGAGATAGTTTCAGTATAGGTAATGTGAATACTGTGAGAATGTAAAATGAGCAATTAATTACTTAAGCATAATTATTTTATGGTTAATCATTAAAAGTACAAACAATTTAATTAATATGAACGATAAGTTTAATTATATTACATTATCTCTATAGACTTAATGGCACTTGTTCCCTGTCACTGACCTTTGAATATCTACTAGGTATTTCTTTCTGTACAGGTTATCATCATTGTGCCTTACCTGAGCTTGAAAATAAAACTGCTAGGGAGTTTTTCTATCTGTTAAAAGGCTGGGCAAGATTTCCTACCTTAGGACTGCTGTTTTTCTGTGATCTCCTTCCTGGCACCTTTAAGTAGATATGAAAACATCATTTGAGTGACTTCCAGCAACCTGGAGTTTTCCAACAGAAGGGAAAATGAGAAAGAGTAAACATCAAGCAGCTACCTTTGCAAGTCTTACATAGTCAGAGAAAAGAAAAAAAATTCTTTGCCAATTAGAGCTCCAGAGCTTTTATACTGTCTTTTCTATGCTGTTTGTGACTCCCAAGAATTACATATGAGTCATGTCTGGGTCCTACTTCCACAGTGCAGCTGTCATTTGATATAGGCAATGAATGATTGTCTTCATTAGAAAGCATGTTTGTTTAAATGTTTAAACATCATTATAAACAGTAGGATCCTACCAGGAATATGCATATGTGAAATGGGACAGATTCCTTTACAAAACATCATGTTAGTCTTCTGCCTGGATCAAAGGAATGTGGTCTTTCAGCAGTTCAGCTGTAGTTAAAACTCCCTTTCATTTATCTTACGAAAAGTGTCGCAGGAGGCTATCTCTTTCCACTCATTGTCTTCAGGCATTGCAGTTTGTCCTGTGGCTATTCCTGTACTAGATTTTTGTTCTAAGATACATGATAAGGGCTTACCCACTTTTAAAGGAACCTGGCCATAATTTTCTGAAGTGCTGTGGGCATCTCTCTCTCTGCTTTAACTTCTCTTTTTCTTCAATGTCTTTTATCTTTGAATTGTGGCAGATATTTTTGGGAGTAGAAAACATTTACTCTCAAGAGAAAAGAGAAAGTTGAGTCTTACTTAAACCTACTTTTCTGTTTTCTGCTAGTGGTTTTTCTGGTTCTGACAGGAATGATAAAGCTTTGCTCTTTGGTTATACAACATGTATTTTTGATGTGGAGAAACTAATTGTTCCTGTAAATATTGACTGACACTTGCCACAAATAATTGTCTTTTTTTTTCTCCTGTGAGCATCTTTAGATGGCAGTAACATAGTCTTCTCTTTATAAATTTACATAGCATTAATGCTTTGTGGAACCATGGAAAGACTACAAAGATTTTTGCCGTCATCCTAATAAGATTTGAAATGGAGTTCTCAATTTCTCCTTCATGAAATGTGTACCTGAAAATTACTTGGAATTCATAGGTGGACACATCATTAGAAAAGGAAGTTAAGAAAGAATTGGTAATTACCTTAGCTGTTATGGATTCCTTGGAATATGTTGTGTCCTTGAGCCTGATTTTCAGCAGTGTGTGTCAACTAGTCTGTTGAGACAGTGAAAGACCTGAAAGCTCAGGTGCTGTTATTGGAGCCAGGAAGTTATGTGAGTACCTGCACATGCCAGGAAATACTGCTGATGCCCATCACTGGCTGTCAGTTTGCTAGGTAATGTGAATAAAAGAAAAATATTAACTTATCTATAGTAAATACTTTTCTTCAAATAGCAACCATATCCTAATTACCCTTGTAACTTAAGATCTTTTGAATGTTACTGTAATAAGCATTCAGTTACTGTAATAAACTGATTCTTATCTTTGAAGCTAGAAACACCTGCATGAGTTGTTCAATTGTCTTGTTCAATTGTCTTGTCGTCATGACTCAGTGGCTTTTAAAAAACCTTTGATACCAGGAACCACATGGGAGTTTTTTCTTCTGATCGCTTCCTTCTTCCATGAATGGGAATAGGAGTGTCTTTGCACCATCTTGCCTAGGTCAGAAACTTGTCAAGAGAAAAATGGGTTTCCTTTTTTGAGAAGTCTTGGATGTAGTTGTACAGAGAATATTTTATCCCCAAAGTCTCAAAGTGTTTCACTGTGAAATATGCTGGACCTGTGTAGAATGCAAGGTGATCCCTTAACACATTTTAGGATTATGATTTTTTAGAGCTGTGTGAAATCCTAAAGGACAGAAACAAGAACTCACTGGCTTTTGTTTTTAACTTCAGTTTATCATGTACTAGTATGGGGAGAGATGGAAAGCTGGAAATGCAGCTTTTGACTGTGGTTTCTGTAATACTTTGTTGTAATTCACATTCTTCAAGTATTCCACCTTACACAGAGAATTACCTTCTCTTGTCACTTGCTGTGTGATTATTAGAGTCAGATGTTTGCTAACTCCCACCCCAAAAAGCTACAGATGCTGGTCCATTCAAGATCAGTGTTGTATAGCATAAGCATAAGCTATACAACATGGAATAAGTACCCAATATTTTGGATATATATTCAATATACCTGTATAAAGAGATTCTCAAAAAGTATATTAATCCTTTATGGTGTTCTTAACATTTTCAGTATCTACCCATTATTGAGTGTTATCTGTTACTTGCAACTAACTTTTAAGCATCTGCTTCTTATGAATGAGTGATTTCCATGAATTCTCATGGAAATGACTCTGGATATTCTTTATGTAGTATTCTGTTTCCATAACAGAAAATTAAGATCCAGAGGCACTGATGGTTGAGTGGCAGCTGGTTGTAGTGTGTCAGGAGCCACCTGAATGCACTTTTCAGTGGCAACCCTTGATTCCCCAGGGGATTGTCTCACCTTAGTGATGTTCACACAGCTGTTTGTAAAACTAACTTAGATGACCAATAACTGCTCTTCAGGGGGTGTTTGCTTGACTTGTGGTGTTGTTTGGCTGGTTGGTTTTCCTAAATTGTAATGCTTTTATTGGTCCAGCGTTAGCCACAGAGTACCATCAATAGGTGTCAGGGCTACTGAGGGGTAAGATAATCAGACTGAAGTGAGAGATGAAAGCAGTTTCTAATGAAGTCAGCACACTCTGAAGGTATGAGTGTAAAGCTACAGTCTCACAACCTTTTAATCAGAGAAGACTCTTGAAAAGCAGAGTCAGATTGGATCATCTGGTTTTGATGGCTCTCTCAGTTCTTACACTAGTGCAGACTGGAAGGTTCTTTGTGTCTATTTGTAATTTTTCTTAATGTTATTTTACTTCATCTTTTCTTCTCCTGTATATATCTCTTTCTTCCAAATTTTCCTCCATCTCAATTTTCAGGCAGATTATTTTTTTTACAAAGTATCTGCAAAAACAGTGATTATGTATTTTATTAAGAAATTCATGGATCTGTAATACTTGATATTGTGTGATACACGTACATAGCAAATTACAAAATCTGTGAAAGTACACAATTAACTCTTTCTCCCAAGGCATTTTATTGTCTTTAGGGAACACCATCAAATCACTGAAAGTTTACCCTCCTTTGTTTTTCATTTGTATATACTCTTGAAAATACATTTAAAAAAAAAAAAAAGTCTAAAGAATCTAAGCAGCCTGAAGGCATATTGTAATTGTTGAAAACAAGCTGGGGCCTGGCCATTGAATGAATTCATATGATCACCCTGTGGAGGGATTTCGAAGTGAAACATGAAAGTTTGTTGCAGCATTGAGGGACTGCTTAGTGGCTCTGTGAAATAAGTTGAGAGACTTCAGCATAGAAGCAGTTACTGGGTGTGTTGTTCACTTCCCTCCTGGTTGGGATAGGTGCCAGAAATGATCACAGGCACTGTAAGTTACACTCATTAGCTATAGAGTATGAAAGGTTTCCCCAGCTGAAGAGTATTACATTGTCATCTTTTGCTGTTTTCCTCTACGTTGAAAACTTCACAATGTAGTGGGTGACATGAAATGGAATTGATCCTTGCAAATGTGTTTGCCCAAAGTAAGCATTTTTGAGATCTTGCATACAAGTGTTACTGGAACAGTTAAACTCATGGACATAGGCCAGTGACTGTGCCAGATGTTAATTTTGCAGTTTTGTTCTGGAATTGGTTGTAATGATGTTAAATTTGTTATTATCAACTTACATATTTTTCCAACTTTTAAACTCAAAGTTTGTTGGGTTTTTTTCCCCCATTTAGGTCAGTGTGATGAGAAACCTGAACACAGGCACCTTAGCAGGACCAAGATCAGAGGGGAAGTACATACCTGTAACATCAGGCCACTCGGAGTTGCCAGTGAATGGAGAAGTAAACTTGCTGGAGATAGAGCCAAAAGAACAAACTGTTAGTCCTGTGAATTCCTGTGATGAAGAATCTTCTGTCCCTTCCCCAGAGGCACCAGCCAAAGCAGAAGAGGTGCCTGTGCAGGAAAGCACAGAGGAGATCACTTTTGATGCTGATGTACAAAACAGCGAAGGAAAAGAGAGTTACTTCATTTCTAACAGTAGCCAAATGGATATATGCAGTAAGTCTTCGGGATCAGAGATGCCTCCCACAGAAACACAGCAAACAGTAATTCCTAGCAACTGCTTCAAGTTTTCTGGCTATGACAAGCCTCATGTTCCGTTGGATATGTTGATGATAGATGTTGGTGAAGAACAGCCTGTGAATGCTTACAGACCAACTGAGTAGCCAGGATAACTGAAGTGCTTAACCACAACTCAGAAGGAAGAGCATTACTGAAGGTTGTGGAAAGTCTGGGTTAAATTGTGAGCACCTACAAGTTGTACTTGTTCTGATCAGTACACAATTGAAAATAGTACCTGAAAATGGCATAAAAAGTGTGGGGAAATTTCATAATAGCCACCTTAAGAATGCTTTTATATATGATATAACTCATTATTTCCTATTTCAAATAGCGCTGTGTTTTTTGACAATACTCTATAGAAAACATACCATTGACTATAAAACAGCAGCTGTACCGTTATTCACTTCTGCTTCAAATCTTGTTCAAAATTAGTTGAATGAACATAATGCTTAAGAAATCCTTCACTTGATTATGACAGGCATGTGCAAGAAATTTTTGAGAGTTTTTACTGTTACTGGAGGTATCCTCTTGCTTATCTTTTTCTTTTGAAGAGTATTTTATATTAAATTAAGTGCTCTTATTTCTTTTAAATAAGATTATGCCTATAAGCTCTTCCTGTATATCTTAAGAATTTGATTCCATGTCAAAGAAGTAAGAAGTAATGGCCATAAACTAACAGCATAAGAAGTTCACCTCAATATGAGGAAGAACTTTGCATTGAGGGTGGGTGGCAGAGCACTGGAAGGGGCTGCCCAAGGAGATCACGAAGTCTCCCTCTCTGAAGACATTCAAAATCCACCTGAACTCATTCCTATGTCAGGTGCTCTAGGTGACCCTTGCCTTGCCAGGAAGTTGGACTGGATGATTTCCAGAGGTTCCTTCCAACCCTTACAATTCTGTGAAATTGTAGTCTTTGCTGTTAACTTCAGTACAGCAGCACCCATTTGGATCACCTAGTGGAATTCTGGCAGAACATATTAGCAAGCTGACTGATCATCACTGAGAAAAAAAAGTCCAATGGGTGGTTGCACAAATTCTTTAGAAAATGTCCTCAAAACTCAAAAACCTGGTTCTTCTGGGATACTTTTATCCTAATTTTTAGAACAATACGTTCTCTAAATAGAAATTAATAGAACTTCTTACAAGCATGTTTTCTAGCAGGATGAAAATCACTGTAATTTCCTGTTTTAATAACATAACTCAGGAACTACGTAAAGTCACCCTCTGAAAATATGTCTCAAGACAATAGGGAAATAGTGTGGTTAAGTTGTACTTCGTAAGTTTTATTGTCATCTGACAGCCTTCTGAATTTTGTATCATAGAGTTGTAGTTTTGAAAACTGAGGAATAAGAATTTTGTATTTTATATATAATTTTTTTCGTATTGAAATCCATGCAATCAATTTATTTCTCTTTAATCAAGATTTGATAGGTATTTTCTATTTGTAGGAAATGTTTATAGCAAATTATTAATGAAGGGAAAAAAAACACACTACGAGTACAAGTTGGTCCATTTAAAAAGACATTTCTATAGGGTTATCAGAATTGTTAGCCTGTTACAGCAGGTGGTTTTAAAGGAAAACCAGTGTCATAGTACTTCTGTCTGTACATTTCTCAGTGGCATGAGTACTCTTAAGGTGAAGTTAGTTTATACAGGAGTTTCGGGAGTGCTTCTGTTCCTGTATATATCAGATATTGATATATGCAGTGGTGCAAAAGATTTAAAGACAATAATGGTGCACAATGGTGCAAAAGATTTAAAGACAATAATTTTTCCCATCACTACTGCACAGGAAGGTAACAGACTGGTTACCAGGGTTTTGATAATTTTAGGAAAAGCCAAATCAAGCAGGTGAATTTTGTAGTTATGATGTCATGGAAAGCCCAGTTAATAATTGTTAGCTGGCTGTGATTTGTTTCTGCATTCTATTCAAACATAATGAGACCCCCTAGCAACTTTTTCAATGTCTTGTTCTGGGTTGAGTTCCTAGAAGGCAGCGCTTAGTGACTTACTGCTCAGGATGCACCAGTGTGTAGGTCTCCCCATGGTGCAGAAAATAACACTCTTGGTGTTACGAGTAGGATTTTTGAAAATCAGCATTAATTGCAGTTGAAACTTCAACTAAACTGACTTTCCAGGTTGTGATGTGGTTTATCACTGAAGCTCCTAGCAGGCTGTCTACAAAGTAGATGAGCAGCTGTGTCTTGTGCAAAGATTGGAGTTGATGCAATTTCTTTCTGAGTTTGGAGGTTTGTTGATGAATATGAATTGCAGTAAATACCTCAGGGATTTATAAATGTCAGAGAAGTGTTTAAGGTAAATTTGGCTCTGAAGGGATAAAGAGAACGTTAGAAACTGTAAGATTAGTCTTGTTTTTTGGGAAGAAGTTTCTGACCAGACAATTTGCTGAGTATTTTCTTTGCAACTGCTCAGAGTATTTAACCTTGCACTTGGTAGCTTATTTTCCTTCTGTCAGTTTTGTGGGAGGAAAAAAAAAAAAAAAGTTGATGCTGTCCAAGAAAATCAGGAATTTAGGAATATTTGATATATCTGCCACAAAACCAAGATTCTGTCAGAAGCATGTAATTTTTTTTTAAATTAGGTTTACATTCTTAGCAGTTCATGAGGAAACCCTGGTGCTGTTAGAACTAAGACTTAGCATCTTAGATTTGTGTGAGCTGTGTTTCATTGTTCTGGAAGATTTTCCTTTGCTGACACAGTGGAAGAGGAGTGCAGATAGACACATTTTAAAACCAAGTTACTATCTCCAGTTCTTTTCTCTTAACCCTGCAATACAACTACATTGTACATTCTTCTGAATGTTTCAACTCACACAGAGTCAAATGTGAGTAAAAGGACCCAGCCAGGAGCTAGGAAATCATTAAGAACAGCGATGTTAAGATCAATAAGAAATGACACAAAAATATATCATAACATATGGGAAAAATTTGTCATGGCAGGTAGTCACATATATTGGAACGGTGGTATTATTTTAGAAGCTGAAAATCAACAGCAGTATGAGTGCTTTGTACTATATCACATATATGTACAACAGACCTGCTCTTGAAATAAAACAAGGTTAAATGTACTTTTAAATCAAAATTCTGAGCTGTAAACACAGAAGCCACTGAACTAGCACCATCCCTGCAGTCAGTCTTCTGTATGCTGCATACTTACCTAGTGGCACAGGGATAGTTTAGATGTTTAAATTGCTCAGGCCAGTTTAGAGCTTTTGTAGTTGTGAAATAAAGAAGTTTAAGGGTGCAGGATTCTTTTACTAGCTGTGACTAGCTGAAAATGTGAGGCCACAGTGAGACAAAATGTGTTTCTGGGTCAGTAAGCTCTGTTCCCACCAGTCCTATTTTTAGCAGTTGCCAGTAGTGGTATTGAAAGCCTAAGAGTAGGGCAAGTCATGGTGGTAATCTCTGGATACAATCCAGCAGCTTGCAGTGTGAGGATTCCTTGGGATGGGAATGGAAAGCCTTTCCAGCTACAGCTAGTTAGCCTTGCTTTTGCAGTTCTGTAATACCAGCTATCTGAGCAATGTTGTTGGCAACCTGTCAGGCAGTATTTATCTATACATTTTCACCTGAGTTTGTTAATTAATATTCTTGTGATGAAGTCGTTTCCTTGAGCTTCTGAGTATTCATACACAGCACCTTGATCCAGAATGTGGAAGTGCCTAACATTTATACATTGAAAATAATGTAATATTCATGCCTTTTGTAGGCCTATCCAGTATGACACACTTAAAAGGTTTTGCCTTTTCTAACCTTTTCAGCTGATTTTTACTCTTGTCCTGGCTGCTTAGTACTCCTTTCCTCTCGCTTCAAGGTAATTTGGGTGATAAGTTAAGACTCCAAAACATTATATCCTGTGAAAGAGAACTTCACAAAACTTTGGCCTCATACCTGCCAACATTTCTAAGAACTTCTTTAGTTCTTGTTCTTGAGTGGGCATTGTAATTTTTATTACTAGATCTGCAGTTAACAATGAGGTATTGTGGCAGTACTGTGTGCTGGCACAGAAACATCAAATCTGCTTTTGTGTGGTTTTCCACATAAGTCAATAATGTAGTTTAAAAAAAATTTGTCAAATCTACTGACATGTGTGGAAACAAGACAGTTGTCTGGAACAGATGCACATACTTTTTTTTAAACCCTTCATAGAAGATTGCAGAAAAAGAAACTTGCATGAGAAAACCTGCTTTTCTCAGGGTTAGAAATAACCCGTTGCTCTGAAGTGGTTCCATGTAAACAGTTGAATATTAGTAAGAGATGTTGTACTTTGTTCAAATCAATAGTTTCAGCACGTCTTAAACCAAAAACCCAAAAAGCAAAAACACACAACCAAAATGACAAGCCAAATACTAAGCACCTTTTATCTTAGGAAAAGGTGACCTGTGTAAATTCTTTTAGTGTGTGGTTTTTTTTTTTTTTTTTTTTTGTAGTTCAGTCCTTTAACTATCAAGTTCTTGTTTATTAATACTCTCTATCTTCTCTAAATGGATGCCATCATTGGGCTGAAATCTGTAATGAAATTTCTGTAAATACTGTACAGTTTAAATGTTTTTATATGTAAATAAAAAAAATATCTAAGAAGAAAAATGTGTGTCCTTGCCTCTTTATGACTGTTAGCTTTTGTTCTGAAGACTAAAAGTGCTTCTGAAGCTCTCTCAGTTCATGTTACTTACATGGTGTGTGCTTGAGCTTTATTGAGAATCAAAACACTCTTTGGGGGAGATGTGTGTGGCCCATCTGTGTGTGTGGATGTGTGTAGCAGTTCCTGGATCCTATTGACCATCATCATCCTCAGCACTGCAGCTTCTCTTTTACACGGTTGATGCAGCCTGCAGTAACTTAAGTTCAGTCCTATTGCTTCAGCCTGGGGCTGCTTCCTTATGTTCTACTTTAAAGCTATGGACAAGGATTAAATGGTCAAACCATTTGAATGGATTAATTAGTAGAGAGAGGAAAGCTGGCCTTGGAACTTACTACTGTTCATTAGAAGTTTAAAGATCACAGAAGTCTTACTTATGTGATGTTTTAATTTCTGCTGTCTAGCCACAGCTTGAAAGAGGAAAAGCATTACAAGCAGAGCAATGAGCAGGCAAACCAAGAGGTTCTGCCTGCCAGCTTGTTATGAGTCCTGCAAAATTAATCCTTCAGTTGTCAAATCCTTGCAATGTTCACAGTACAGCGATAAGAGTATTCACTCTGATACAGCTTTTTTTCTGTGCCAACATTGCTTGAATAACAAACTCAAAAACTTAGCGTCCCTTCAAAAATGCCTTTTCAGAGAGTAAATACAGTTCTTTCAGACTGAAAATACAGGGTGAAAAGAACAAAAATAAATACACTTTGTTTTCTTTCTGGGCATGACTGTTTTGTGTTATGTTTTGTGGCACTTTTAAGTTAATAGCAGCTCAGTTAATAGCAGGAAGGGTGGAGGGCATGTGCAGGTCCATTCCAGAAGACAGGAACTGTATGTACTGTTGTGTGCTTTCTGCTACCAGGTTTGGTAGAGTTGAGGCTTGTGCTAACCTGCAAATGTGATCAAGTGTGAGACAAATTATAACAAGGAAGGAAGGGTTGCAAAAGCTTGCAAAAGCTTGCCTGAATGGCTAGAGGGCAGTGGCAGCAAGGAGGTAGAGAGCATCTTTGCCATTTCTCAGTCCCTTCTTCCATGTGGCTTCATCTCAAGTAACAGTCTGGCCTTGTATCAGCTTTTAATACAGTACTAACTTGTACTCACCACCCAAATCTGACTAGTAATTGCAATAAAGTACTGTGAATTTGGATAGTAAATTACAAATAATTAATTTGTCAGTTGCTTCAGGGTGTGCAGCAAAACTACCAATTTTATTCGAGGTACGCCAAACTTCATTTGAGATGAATATGGAACAAAGCTTTTTTATCTTTAAGAATCACAGGGTGATCTTATTGGTTAAACAGTCATGTTGCAGTAGACTCGAAACTAACACCTCTGAGAAGTGTGAAAACCAGATAAGTGTGAAGGGTCCTGTCCTGAAAAGCTCAGAACACTGATTCCTGAATGCTTAGAGACTATCCACACAAGATCTTCAACATTGTATTTATTAAGGAAAACAAAAAAGTATTGTAAAACGGTGTATATACAAATACAGTAGGTATTTGGAGACAGTGGTGGGAAAGATCATTGTGAGAATGGACTTCTTGGTCTAGAGTTTGCACTCCTTGGATGATGGAGAATGATACTGAGAATCACAGAACTGAGCCACAGGTTAGAAAGTGTGATGCTTGCAAATTTCTCCTTGCAGAAGAGATGAGTGAAAGGCAGATTCTCTTTTTTCTTCTATTTCTTTTTTCCCTTGGCCAGGGAAACCCCTGGAACTTGCATCTTTCCAGGTTTTATTGTCCAAAGTAGCTACCAGAAGTGTTTGCTCCTTCTGCAGCCCAGTTTTTGATGACAAATGTAAAGGCTGGCATCCCAGTTCTGTATGTCTTTTCCCAAGTGCAGGCTTGCCAGCCCCTTGCTCTTCTTGTGCCATGTGCTGAGTCAGCCCAGTGTGGTCTGGACTTGATTAGACACAGAGGCTTCAAACTACTCCCTAAAAAAAAAAAAAAAAAAAAAAAAAAATCAGCACGTGGGTCCTATCCTACCAATACATCAGCAGTTGCCTCAGCTGCCTCTGGTGGCAGTGTGCCAGAGAGCATTGGCATTACCAGAATTGAGCCTTTCTTTACTTTAGTAGGTGGACCAAGAAAGCATGAGCAATGTTTGTGATGTACCTCTCCAGTTTTATTTGTGGGTTCTGTTGGCTGAGTGAGCACTTGGCACCTTTACTATGCTATGATGATTACCTAAGAAAAAGCAACTAATTTTGGAATATTAATTTCACATGTCTCCAAGTTGGTAGTTTTTTGTCTGCAGATGATTTGGTGAAGGATCCACAAGCTAAAAAGTGTGTCTTAATGGGCTTAAACAAGCTACAGCACTCAGTGGTAGGAAAAAATATAATTCTATGGCTTTTCAAGTGAGAAAAACAGACAATTTTAAGGGAACTTGTCATTTAAATGAAAGACTTGGAGCTATTTTGGGGCTTGGTATTAATTTCAGTTCCTAATGAATGTTAGTGTTGGTTACTAACTTCCCGGTCACATCAGTGTGTTGCACATTGTTAAATAAATACTGCATGTGCAAATGATGGCTTGCTACTTTTGAGCCTTCAGGAGATCTTCATGTTTGATATGGTCAAAAGTCTCCCTATGTAGATGCAGCTGGAATTTCCAACTGCAATCTTTAAAATGTTGACCCAAGCTCTTTAACAGTGAGAGATGATGTCAGTGTGCGGGAAGCAGGGAGGGCACACACTGTGCAGTGAAAGTCTGCGTTGCTTCCTCAGAAACTTCTCAGTAAGAACTCGTGTGATGCAATGTCTCTTCCCTACAGAGCAGGGAAGAAAAATCCAAAAAGTCCCTCCTGCCTGACTATAGGGGTTTTCTTTGCTTTCATTTTAATTTTTGTGTGCAGTGTAGTGATTCACTTTTCCAGTCCCCACTGAGCTGGTGAAGGGCTGTCCTGCTGCACATGACGCACCAGAAGAAGCTGAGGGAACTGGATCCCTTCAGCCAGGAGAGATGGCACTTGGGAGAAATCTAATTGCCGACTATAGCAAACTGTAGCATTTGCAGAAATGGCAGATTTTATCTGAAGTAAAAGCACAATAAAAGCACAAAAAAGCATCTGTCATAAATTGCAGCAGAGAAATCCCACTAGGATATGCAGGAGGAAATTCACATTAAAGGCGGTTAACTGTGGGATAAAATTGTCACTATCCCTGTGCTGAGGCTGGATGGGATGACCTCAGAGTCCCCTTCCAAGACAGGTTTTCCTCTGAGTCCACACTGGCTGTTTAGAAAAGACTGAAAACTGCGAATTGTCTTTAGGTCCAGAGTAACAGGAACCACTCACATTTTTTATTTTTGTGTGAAATGCCACACATGAGAGAGAATTGCCTTGCCTCTGGCAGGTACTGGAAGTATTCTCTGTATGCTTTGGGTATGCTTTCTTCATCCTCCCACATCCTCATCCAGGCATGTAAGCAAAACTGACCCACACATCCACTGCAAATATCAGACTCCATCTGAAAAGCCAAAGGTGGTGCTACAGTAGCAGTTTCAGGGTTACATTTTCCCCTTTTATGTATGGGAAACAACGCTTTCAAGGGCCAAAGGAAAAAAAAAAAAAGTAACAAGGAGGTGGTCCTTTCAAATGAAATGAGTCAAGCAGCTTTCAGCAGAAATACTTGACTTTTACCTGTGTGTAGCAATAATCCGTCCTCAAGAGAAAGCAAGCTGTTTACACAGCATTCAGATAGGTTTCTATTCCAGCAATGGAAAAAATTCTCATACCCATGGTTTTCTATGTTGGATCACAAAAATATCACTTCTGCTGTTTCACAGTGGTTTGGATCAGAAAGATGCTGCAGTGTAAGCTAGGATGAGCTAGTAGCATAACTACTTATGTGGATCCTGCTGGGCTAAGTAATACACTTCAACTTTCCATTTCTTCATGAAGTACTGTTCAGAGTACCCTTAACATTGTTTATAGGAGTTCTCATATTTTAAATAGCACTGCAGTGTGCATCATCCTGTGTTCCTCAATAGTTTACATTTTGAAATGCGCTCTATACACTATATATGCACTGTACATGCACTATGTATGTATTCTGTGAGACTCCAGGCATACATGCATGTACATGTCTGCATGTGTGTGTGTGTGCAGCTGGTCCTTGTGACTGTGGTGATTTTTATCACATAAATGACTGAGGCCAATGAGTAGCACAGGTGCTAACAGCCTGCTATTGCAACAGCGCCTGTTTCAATGACGGCAGAAAGTGTGTGAAGAGTTAGAGATTACTGCGGAGCGCCGAGCTCAGCTGCGGATCAAACACTCTCGGAGCGCAGCGTGCAGGAAACCCTGGGTGTTTTCCAGCACCCATGTGACAGGCATTTCTTGCCCCGTCTCACCACATTGCACAGCAGCCTTTTCCGAGCAAAAGGCACTGGTGCCCGCAGGCTGGCCCTCGGCTCTGCTTTCCTAGGAGGAACCACCATCAAAAGGAACTTTGACAAAGGTCCACACTTCATCTCCTGGCAATGGGCTGCTTCTCGGGATATGGGAAGGTGTGTACAATTCAAGTAAACAAATTCATGACCTGTGACTAAACACTGATGACTTTTCAGTCTAGTGATTGGTTTGTAAAAGTTCCCTATTCCCGTACTTGAGCTCATATAACATGACGAAAAACTGAGTTTGGTGTGGGGAACTATTTAAAGTAAATAAACTATTTCAAGTTTTAAGTTTTGTTGGGTTTTTTTTTTTGTTTGTTTGTTTTTTGTTTTTTTTTTTAATCTATCCATTCCCATTGGGAAATGGATATATAAAAAATCCGCAGCTGGAGATAGAATTTCTGACTTCTGCCTGCATTTTGGTGGGGGTTTTTTAATTCATTTTTTCTCAGTTCTTTAATACCCTTAATTGGTTTGACTAATTCATTATTCAAAGCTACACAGTTAGCATTTTACTATATATGGGGCAGGTCTGGTGCTAGTACAATGAGATATAGGTGATCAGCCAAACTGAGACCCTGTGCCTATCTATCTGACCAAAATCAGCTTCTTGACTAGATTTTGTTCAGTTTGTTCAATGTAACTAGCGGCCTTTAAATAAGTTCATTTGAACCAGAGCTTGCACTTGTTTTGACCTGACAAGTCTTCTGTTTCCATGTTTTCCCAGAGTAAAGATGATTTAATGACAATTATTTGTTAATAGACAGGTAGTCTTCACATCCATTAATTACTCCTTTTGTGAAAGCTGTTACACAGGGCTGCGCTAAGTCTTACAAAATTAGCATTTTTCTCCTCTTGCTTATCATCATGAGTTTGCAAAGAGAGAAAGCATCCTGACTTTTGCTTAGTTGCACTAGTGCATGAGCAGTGAAGTACCAGTGGGTGTCAGCATCGGGGAACTTTTGGGGAGGGAAGAGTGAGGGGCAAGCTTAGGCAGTAGCACGGTGTTCACCACCAGCAACAGAATTGTCTGAGCTTTCCACACTTCCCAGGAGCACAAAACTCATCTCCCACCAGGCAGACGTGCACGTGGCATTAAAGCATTTGCAAGAACAAAGTGAGATTTTTTCTCACCGGAGAGCCCCAGCATACCAGCCCTGGGGTCAGGCTTGTAGGGATGGACATATTGGGCAGGCAGGATGCAGAGGATAACACACACTGACAAATGGAAATATTTGTGCAGGCAGTGTTGCAGCACACCTGCACCAGTTGGGGCATATGATTCCAAGCAGTCTGAAAGTCCAACCCAGAGTGGCACTTTGCCCTATGGGCTGGGCTTATCTTCCTAATCCCAGTCTGGAGGCTGTCAGTCCTGCAACTTCCCCAGCATCCCAGCATCTCCCCTGCAGCCAGCATGGGATGATGCCAGCATGTGCTGCCCAACAGCCTGAAGTGATTTCAGAGCCGCTCATTCCTCCAGTTGCAGTGCCCTAGATGATGTCCTGCCACCAGCACACCTGCAAACTCCAGCTCTTGCTTTTGGCCCAGAGGCAGTCCATCAAACCCAAAGCACATCCCATGGGTAGGTCTTTTATATCTTTGGAGCAAAATTTCTTGTGTTCTTCAGCTCTGAGCAACTAGTGAGCTGAAAATAATTAATTATTTAATTAATTAATTGAATTTTAAAAATATTAAAAATCTTAGCATGGCAAGCAAGAAAGCTTCTGTGACAAATTTATGGGGTAAAGAAATATTGGCAGACATCATGTGGGAATTAGTGTCTTTAAAAAAGGACCTTTTTCATAATGCCTTGGTTGATAATTAGTTCCAAACCCTGCATGACCACAGCTGCCAAGAAAGAACAATTGCTCATGTTTAATTTAGAGCTACTCATATGTTTTGCAGCTAAATTAAACCAAAGCCAAACCGGGGAATTTGGAAACCACTGAAAATAAGGGGAACTCTGGAGTGCTTAACAATTACTTCCTCATAGGACATGCCCAAGAGGAAGAGAGGTGCTTTTCAGTCATGGAGCTGCTCTCCTAAGCATGAGGAGGATCATGCTTTCCTTCCTCTGCTTACTGATGCACCTGCTTCAGGATGAAACAACTTGTAAGTAAGGGCTTTTTGCTCTTTTTCTCTATGGGAAGGGAAGGGGGAGTGGGAGGACAGGGCTTGTTATTGAATTTTTGGATGAGTCAAGAAATCTCTGTATCCTTTGGTGGGTTTCAAAAGCTAGTCACTTTCAAATTAGTTTGTAATTTTATCTTTCCAGGTTCTGAAATGCAGATAAAGTGAACGTGTTGCCCGTTACATTTTTTCATGGCTGTATTGCCAGTTTTAGTTCAGCCAGTACAAGTCTTATCTGATTCTGTTCTATGCCAGGATAAAAGCTGCTGTCATCTGGTTTGCAAAATCCACAAAAATATTAGGGTTTGAATGATTTAAATAATGTTAACTGAATTTGTTATAAGTAATATAGCAGTTTGAAAAGAGATGATCTTGAAAACTGCCAGACAGCTTTTCCAGTGGTACAGACAAGAAAAGAAGTGAATTTTAGGTGGTTGTTTAATAGGCAGGAGCTGGTAAACATGACTGTGGCAACAGTTAAAAGAGCTATATCTCTTCAGGTTAAAGTTGAGTTGTGGAGTAAAGAGGGAAAGAGTGCTTGACTTTTAAGTATTGATGGGGATGCTCACTGCAGACTCTGTGAAAGATCTGAAGGGTTTGTTTCCTAGGACGGTCATGCAGCGTCTTTCACAGCAACAAACTCACTAAGGAAAAATATACCAATAAACCAACAAAAGAGAAAAAAAAAAGTAAAAGAAAACTAAAATAACAATGAAAGAACAAACAAACCCAAAACAAACAGCAAAAAACCCCACCTCAAACACTCAGACCACATAAAAGTATTCCTTTCATAGTTCTAAATGTGGGTTTTTTGTAACTGCTTGACTTTGTGACTTGGAAGGTTTTGAATGTGAGATCCAGGAGATTTAATTTCCCTGTGGTCTGCTAGTCATGAAAAAAAAAATGGCCTGTAACAATACTCTCTGATTCCAATGTGGAGGAGTGTGTCTGTGACAAGCACCTTATGTTATCATTCCTTCTTATCTGCAGCGCTTTTAGTTTTGGAAAACCAAGACCTGCAAGATGCGATTAAGCCACAGAAGGTAGAGTTCCATTCGTTAAATTTCAACACCACTTTGCATTGGCAGCCTGGGTGGGCCAGAGAGGCGAGAGATGCGCTCTACTTTGTGCAGTATAAAGTGTAAGTACCAGAGCCTCCCACTGTGCTGGGGCTTAGCCCTGCTGGGGCTAAAATGACTTCTCAGGTGACAGGAGGTTCTCATTCCTGGGGAACAGCCATGTCCTGCTTGGCTGCCAGCTCTCAGTTGTTTCTGCACTTACCAATCCCACAAGGTGCAGTCAAGCAGCACGAGGCAGGCAAGGAGTAAGTCAGCACTATGCTCTGCACTCCCATTGCACCAGGGATTTGAAGCAAAATGTAGTTTGCAGGGGACCTCTGAAAGTCACTGGGTCCAGCCACCTGCCCCAAGCAGGTCTAGGTAGGTCAAGTTATTCTGTAATAGAACATTAAAGGTATTTCAGTGGCCTACCTTGCCCACAGCACTGCCTCAGGGTGCCCTGCCTGGAAAGACTGAGGCCACATTAGGGGATGGTCTCCAGGGTCTGCTCCATCCCTGGCACACTGGTGGGTTCCTGAAATCTTTATTGCCCTTGAGGAACGGAGTGGTGAAATCTGGCATTCTGCCCATCAGTGAACACACTGGCTAAGCCGAAGCTTGCCCACCTCTCCCATGGGGCAGATAGGAGGTGGCTTCTGACAGGGCTGGTGACCCTTGTCTCTGCTTTAGATTGCTTTCAGAAAGGACAGAAACCTGTAGCTCCCAAACACCCATGAAATCAACATTCCCTGTTATCAAATTGAAGGCAGTTAATTTCCATGGCAGGATCTTGTCCATGGCCATGAGAGTAAAACAGATGGCTGAGAATCTGCATGGACACAGGCGATGATCCCTAAAATTTGCATCCTTCCTCCTCTTTCTCCATAGGTATGGGCAGAGCACATGGCAAAACAAAGATGAGTGCTGGGGGATTTCAAGCCATGTCTGTGACCTAACACATGAGACCTCTGACATCCAGGAGCCTTACTACAGCCGAGTGAGAGCAGCCCTGGCTGGTGTCTATTCCAACTGGAGCCTCAGCCGCAGATTTACTCCTTGGCGAGAAAGTAAGTGCAAACACATGTGTCCCCTGGAAGGAATTTGGATCTTCCATGGCATGGAACACATCATTTCTGCTCACAATTTGCAAACAGAAGTTATCTTTTTCTAGCCACAAAGCTGTACATAAAGAAGCGAGTCAATAGCTCTCAGGTGAAGCATTCTGCCAGAGTAATTCTCCACACACTTGAAAGCCAAGCGATTATGGCTAAATAGCCATCTACCGGTAATTAGGAGATCAAAAGATCCCTTTAATTCAACCTCTTCCTCTGGGCATGGAAGTACACAAATCATTTTCAGGCATTTTTGGAGCTGCTGGAAAGACCGGACTCAAGACAATAAAAAAGGAAGCATTTTTTCTTTGGGGGGAGAAGAGGGAACAGAGCTGCTGCGTGGTGTATGGCCACTATTCTTCTCACATTTATGTGTTATCCTGACTGCAGGAAAGGACATAGAAAGGACGTGTGCAGAGCTTTTGGTTAGCACTGTCATTGTAGTGCCACAGCATGTTAGAAATGGAGGACTGCCCAAACACTGAAGAGTAGCAGCCTACCTACCAACAAGTTCACCATGAATTAACCCATTTTCCCTCACTGGCCAGTGCAAAATCAAATTGTCAGTGTGGGTCACTCCACAGCCCCGAAGCACAAACCACCTTGAGCCTCCTGCACAGATGAAACCACAAGCTTTGACATAAAGAAGTATCTTGCAGCAAAACCAGAACATCTTGCCCTGTGGCACATCCTCCTCCTGGAGAGATTCATGTGGCAGCTGCTGCCCATGTCCCCACATTGCTGGTGCTGCACACACGTGTATGCAGGCACTGGCTTCAAGCCTTAGCTGTGTTTAACCAAGCCAATTGCAAAATATTTGAAAGTGGTGGCGTAAACTGCATCTTTGGCACAGATGAAGTGGTTTAAATGGATGTTTTGTGCAGAAAGCACAGAGACAAATATGAAGGAAAAAGAAAATCAGGGCAATTTTTTAATTTTGCTTGACCAGTCAGCACATAGCAACATCAGCTCTAAGGGATTTCGAAAAGTTTGTCTCAAAGATAGATTTACAAACACAGGAAATGTCACCTCCAAAATAACAATAACCAAACCCAATAAACATCAAGAAGTAAGAATTTACAAGGTGTCATTTGAGGAGTAAATATTGTGTAATATATTGTTGGTAACATGAGCATTTGTTGAATGGATTCAAATTGCATTCTAGGAAATATTATTCATCAACTATAACTGTGTTTATAGCTTTGGGTTTTTTTCCATAGCTATGATAGGACCTCCAATGGTAACTGTGATTCATAGCAACAAATCCATAACAGTAAAGCTCCAGGCTCCACGTTCTCCTTATAGAAGGAAGAGAGGCAGCAAAATACCAATGACAAATTATTATGATCTGCTGTATCAAGTCTTCATAATTAACAACTTGCTAGATGAGGTAAGAGTATATTCAGATATGAACCCTTTACCATTGAATAGTCAGAAAAGTGTGGGCACACCATTCTTGTTTTGCTGTTGAAGCAGTCTTCAGGGATTGTGGGAGCAGCGATGACTGTGCAAGTGTTTGAAAACAAAGTGGGCTTATTTTTCAGGAATTGAATTTGATTGAATTGATTTGTAATTTGTCCCTGTATGATTTTCCATCAACTTAATACTTCATAATCTATGACCTAGTTAAAAAAATTAGCACAGGAGAGGAATTTGGGGGAGGAAGGGAATTTTCTTTAAAAAGCATAAATAAGTTATTAATGCTGTTGAGTTTGTGTAAGTTTGTGTGCTGTTCTGCATCCTCTGTTCTCATCAAACTTTACTCACAGACACACTTGCTAGGGAAATGTGCTTGACTGGCTCTTCTTTTTCCACTCTCTATGAAGCAACACAGAGTCCTGGTGTATGAAGGGAAAGACAAGGTTGTTAAAATAGAAGATTTGAGGCCTGGAGTCAGCTACTGCATCGTGGCTAAAATGTACATGCCACTGCTGGACCACAGCAGTGCCTACAGCAGCAGGCAATGCACCGTGCTGCAGTGACAGGGCTGGCACCTCTGAGACAGGTAAGTCACTGGCTGAAATTGGAGATGACTCTGGAAGTCAAGATCTATCCCCTTACCAAAGGCAGACACTCTCCAAAAGTAGAGAAGAAAGTGTGTCATAGAAATGGCCCTCCCACATGACAATATTAGCTGGAACACTTACACAATCTCAGATGCACACCAGGTAAGAACGATAAGGCCAAGATGATCAGAGGAATGGGATAGATAATCATTTGCATGCTGGCACTGTCCTCAGAAACACCTGCTTCTTCCCTTTCTTTAAACAGTTGCACATAGTATAGTTAAATAGTTATACATAGCATGGCTTTCATAAATGCTTTTTTGTCAACTAATAGTTAACTAGAAAAATGAGTGACCTCCACCTTTATTAACATGCAATTCTGCAAGCTCTGCCAGCCTTTTCTGCTCAGGAATTCATGTGATGGATTAATTAAAATGAGCCTGTCCCCTTTTCATGGACACTCTTTAGTGTAGTGTTTTTAAAAATAAATCAGTTATCAAATGTCATGAGTTCCTGTGGGCCAAAATGCAAGAATTATCTCCACTAGCTGATCTGAAAAATCGGGTGTTTACTTACATCAATCACTAGGCTATTGTCACATATCATATGCCTAGCCAAAAGATGTGCTATCAATCCTGCCTTGCAGACACAATGGCACAGAGAGTACAAAGACCTAAACCAAACTTGACTTCATTGGAATTAGCCTTAGCAGGCTCAGATTTGGGGTAAGAGAGGAAAACTGGAAAAGTGTCAGTTTTAACCTGGGCTTCTCATCTCAGTTCCGTACCCTGAAACCATAGAAGTTTTCCTTTCTTCTGCTTCATAATGTGATACATATCTTTGGATTCTCTTGAGTTTTGGTCACTGGGTTTAGGCTAAGGAGGGAGTCACTTTCTAGGGGACTTTCCTGCATTTTTTCCTTGCTTGGCCTGTACTGTAAAGAGCTGGAAACTCAGGTTAGAGCTGGACTTCCAAACAATTTGCAGAGGGACAGGACAGATGCAGGTGAATGGCATGTGTTGAATGTCAGTTCAGTTTAATACCACCCAGCTTAAATGCACATGCCAGCAGCAATTCTCTTTCTCTTCCCCATTACAGGGATAATGGCAGAAGATGCTTTCCATCACAGGTCCAGCTGTAAATCAACATCTGCTGTCTATGTCTGGAATACATACTTGGATACTTTTTAAACTAACCTTTGCTGCATTAAATTATTTGATTATTTGATCACAATCCTTTTATGCTACATGAAGGTCAAGGAGTATGTCCTGTATTACAATTTATGATGGTATATATTTGCATTTTCAAAGGTAACAAGACTTGTAATATAAAAATAAAACCATGAAAAAGTCTTTGCGGAAATATCCTTAAGATTGCTTCTAGGGGTTTTGTATTTTAGGTCTTGAAATTAAAATACTATCTATAAAATAGAAGTTTCAGATATTTTATGTTTTCTACAATGATTACAACAGCAAATGAAAAAAAGCATCCTTCCTTTAAAATAAGAAATGTGTAATACAGGAGTAATTCCATGCTCACAGTGTCTTTGTAGGGCCCTCAACATAATATTTCTCACAGTGAAACCGGAATGTGATTAGCCAGGAATGAATGCAAACTAAAACAGGAAAGATCCTCTCTTCCATTCAGTGAAAGACAGTTAAAGGAAAGAGACCCTCAGCAAGTTTGATGATGAAACAGAACTGTGGGGAGTGGCTGATAAACCAGAAGTCTGTGATGTCATTCAGTGGGACCTTGATAGGCTGGAAAATTGGGTGGAGAGAAACGTAATGACGTTCAACAAGGCCAAGTGTAGGATCCTGCACATGGGGAGGTACAACCCCAAGTACCAGCACAGGCTGGGGACTGACCTCCTGGAGAGCAGATTGGCAGAGAAGGACCTGGGAGTCTTGGAGGATGCCCATGAGCTGGCACTGCCCTTGAGGCCAGGAGAGCCAGTGTATCCTGGGCTGCATTGGGAAGAGTGAGGCCAGCAGGTCAAGGGAGATGGTCCTGACCCTCTACTCAGCCTAGCACATCTGGAGTGCTGTGTCCACTTCTGGGCTCCTCAGTACAAGAAATACAAGATGTGACTGGAGAGGGCCCAGTGGGGAACCACAAAGATGGTGAGGGCTCTGGAGCACCTCTTTTGTGAGAAGCATCTGAGGGAGTTGAGTCTGTTAGTCTAGAGGAGAGAAGGGGTCTCATTAGTGCATGTAAATACCTCAAAGGTGGGTGCCAAAAGGATGGTGCCAGGCTGTTGTCAGTGGTGCCCAGTGACAGAATGAGGAGCAATGGCCTCTGGCTAAAACACAACAATTTTCACTTCAGCATGAAGGAAAGCTTCCTTCCACTGAGGGTGGCAGAGCACTCAAAGAGGCTGCCCAGGGAGGTCATGGAGTTTTCCTCTCTGGAGATATTCTAACACACCTGGACACATTCCTGTGTCACCCTAGGTAGCCTTGCCTGGGCCGGGAGGATGGACTGAATGATTTCCAGAGGTCTCTTTCAGACCTAAGAATTCTGTGATTCTGTGACCTCTGTTTTAGCCATTTCACAGTAAATGGTGACTGAATGCTGACCATTACCTGGGATTTCTGATGATTTTAGCCCTTAATCATACAAGGGAAAAAATTGCTTGGGCAAGGTCTGGCAGGAACTCACTAAGCCACTCCAGGAGGAGGGGTGAAATAGCTTTTGCAGATCTGCAAGGTCTGTAAGTAACGAAAATCTCAGTCCTTAACTATGTTCTGTTATTGCCGATTAAATAAGAGGAGGTGAGAGTGGCCCAGACACAAAAGGGCAAAGAAAGCCCTGGAAAAAATGGAGGTCCCAGCTACATAACCACTATCCACTTTTCCCTTAATTCACATACACAAAGGTGGATCAATTCAGTTTAAGTAACAGACATTGAATTCTCTGAAGCCAAATCCAAAGCATTTTTCATGGTCTGTCACTAGCACTTCCCCTGGAGGCACAAGAGCTGAGAGCTGCTTCAGGATGCTGGCAGTAGGCATTTGGGAAGAGGCTGTGTTTAAGGAAGTTAATGCTGGTCACTCTGCCTCTAACAGAATGAAAGAGGTCATCACATAATAAATATTTCCACCACCTGATTATAATACATGGTATATTTGAACAACGAGGCTTGCAGACATCCAGCCATATCCACACATCTAGTCCATAAAACCAGGTTTCTTTCACTGCATTTCCCTTTTTGCTCCTTTCTCAATTCTTCCAGTTGCTTTGCAACTCATATCCACAGTTTCTTTGTTTAGGTAAGATTTTTTTGAGAAGAAGCCTTTAAATCTCTGTGTAATACCTGGTGCCAAGACAAGTGTGAGATCCTGCTGCCTGTCTTGCACTGGCCAGAAAACCTGTCCAGGCAAACACTTAAGGAACAGTCTATCTTGTATTTCAGCAGTGGGTTATCACAGCCTGAAAACAGTATCTGTAGTAGTTTAAAGTTCTTTCTCAAATTCATTTACTTCCTTAGGGCAGCTCATGTTGCTATTGTTACACAAAGATAAAGCTTTATCAGAGAACAGATTCTGACAATTGCAGATACTGTACCTATGTCAGATGCAGAGAATAAAAGTGTTTTATAGAAAACATTAAAAAAAAAAAAAAAAGAAAAAAAGAGGCAGAGCCATAGGAGTACCTGAAGCATTCAGACCCAGTTAGAAATAGAGCAGCTGCCATGATGTGGGTCTATGAAGACATTTGAAATCTGAATTTTTTTCAATTTGATAAAATTATCAAAAATGTGCAGCATGAATGCTGGGAAAAGCAATAAAAGATCTGAAGAAGTCTTGCACAGTTGTGTGCTAAGTTGTGGGCTAACCAGATTTCACTTCCTCAGCAACAACACAGACTTACAGAAAGCAGTGCAAGAGTTGCAGGAACCCACTTCCATTCTGACAGTACCATGATTTATTACTGCCAACCCCATGATGTTCTGCAAAGGCAAATTTTCCCTTTCCATTTGAAATGCAAATCTTCTTCCAGTGCTGTCCTGACATGTAATTTTACTGGGGAAAAGTTTGATAGAATGATTGTTTCTGCACTTTTTCCTCCCCTAAGGCTGAGTGATCTGGACTCACAGCTTCTAGATGGACTTGGTAATGCTGCAACTTCAAAAAACTACTTTTTGTGCCTTAGACTGGATGTTGCACTGCTGTTTACAACTGCACAAGGGTGAAATGGAGCAAGAGTTCTCTTAACTATAGCTAGGACTTTCCTGCTGACAAGTCAGTTTGGAAATACCTGGAAGAGTGAGTTCTAGCCCTCCTTTCTCTTTCTCCTCATGGGCACAAGCAAACCATTTGCTGTGGGTCCACACCTCTAGAACTGCCCAGGCTGGCACACAGCTGCACAGGGGGTTGTGCATGTGCACCCCATTCAGTACAGGATGCTTTCACATTGTTGGCTTGGCTCCTTCTTGCAAAAAGTTTTCAAGACCCAGCTGAGAACACTTGTCTCTTGTTTTTTTAGTCACTTACACAGCAGGTATTTTCTAACCAAGAGCCAAGTGCCAGGTAACAGATTCTGTTTCAGGAAAGAGAGAAAAGCTGACTTCTAGGGCCATGGCACTGGGAGGGAAAGATCAAGCAGTGTAACAAAAGCAGAAATTGAGACCTATTCTGTGAGCTCTCACCTGCCACACTGCTGAGGGATGTCTGCAGCGACGGCCACAGCCTGTCACAGTGGCCTCATCTGGCCGAGCCTCTCTGTCACAGCTGAGGGTCCTGCCAGTGAGAAATAGATATTTTTCTTTTAGAGTTTGCAGCTGTGGATTTTGTTGTGAAGTGGAACCCCTCCCACAAGGGCCTACCCTTCTGTCTTTCATGACTTTGCTCAAACATATCTGATCTGCCAGAGAGAATGAGAGCTGATCTCCTACTATAAATGGATTTAACTTCCCATGCCGCTGGCACTCAGAAGAGCAATATTCAGCTACCAGAAATTCAAGAACAGGCCTCCAGAAAAGCTGATAGAGCAACAGCAATGAACCAGATGCTCCAGCCTTATAAATTAGGAGAAGATTATGCATAGCCAGATGTACCATATAAATGTCCAGTTTTATAGGATGCCATGGTCCTTGGTGTTTATCATATGGTGCAGCATCTGGCCAGTCCCATGTATCATACCTCCCATGTATCTGCTGTAATCAGATGTGGACCTGGGGTTTTCACACTTGCATGGCTTGATCTCAGCTAAGAACCACTTCGTGGCCTAGGGTGGAGTTCTGTTGTGAAATGACATTTGGCTTTTGCCACAGATTTGTTAGACATTAGGAAGTATTCCAGACTGCAGGGAATTAATCATAAATAGGCGGGGTTTTCTCTGGATTCCAATGTTTGCTACAAGGATCAAAGATACTAATCTGTAAAACCTGCCTGTAAAAAAAAAAAAAGGAGAAATCTCAAACTCCTGAGTAGTAGTCTATGACAAAGGACACAGGGGACAAAAGAAGGGTACTTTCTGGAGAGAAGGGAAGGGAAAGAAATGACACTGGTGTTCATGATCAGGAAAGTTACAGTCTCCTTTGCAACTTGTTTTCAGAATCTTTTGTAAAAGGTTTCCAAAGGGGAAAAAAAAAACCCTTTAAAATGTAATTCCCCAAATTATGAAGTCACTGGTTGTTTTATTGTGTTACGTGTCTATTCCACTGAAAACCCAGTTGAAGAAGTCATTGCTACCAGAATTTTGATTTGGGATGGGGAAAAATAGGAAGCCTGAGCCGCGATGCTTACAAGGAAAGAAATACCTGAAAAGGTTCCATGATCTGAGATAAATAGTGAAGACAGTTTTAAATTTTTGAACATTTTGCTCTTTTCTGAGGCACTGGGGCCCTGATGTTGAGTTACCTAAATATCCTTAATAATGAAAAAATGCAGTCCAGGAGTATCACACTGAGGACCAGACTCTTCAGAAATGTACTTACTTTTAAACATAGGAACACGACGACAAATAAGAGTCATTGTGCAAATTGTTATACCCACAAAGCAGCATCAGGAAAATTGTTATGAATTTAGTTTATGTATTTCAGGCAATGTCTTTCTAATCTTTTTTAAAATTATTTTTGCATGTAAGAAATCATAAATCATACAAATTTCCAAGAAAGCTCTTGTTTTTCATTTTTTACAACAGAAGAATTTTTTTTTAACATTGCTTGTTAGGTGACACTGGGCATGTTGAATAGCTGACAAGAACATGATTGTTATTGGGCTAAGGT